TTGCAGCCGAGTGAAGACTGTTGAATTGTGCGAACAAGTGCTCGGTTTTCGTTGTCATAATGTATCACTATAGGATTATACGAAACCTAGTTTTATGCATATTTTAGTTTGGAGCTTTTGTAGGATGCCGTTTATTTGGCAGCAATCAACGAATGCGAATGAGCACGAGCAGCGAATGAGTAGAATAGACTGAGCATCTTCAAACGAAGCCAGAGAAGCAATAATCTGCAGTCGTCTTTTGGAGAATATTTCCCTATCAGACAATTTCACAACATACAATTTCAATACAACACTGTTGCAATGCGTGACTTGATATTTCATTTAGAAGAAAAAGTTGCTTGTTCTCACAGAAAACCGAGCGAGAATTGTTGTGGAGGAAAAACTGTTTACAGAGGACTCAAAGAGTTGTTCGCCAAATTCAACTTTTCGCGACAATCCTCCTTCGTACTGGAAAGCACTAAAGGAGTCTTCAAAACGTAACTTTAATTCAAAAATACATTTTTTAAGCTGAGATTCTTAACAGGTATTATTTTCATAAATGAATATAAATCAAGAAATATATATATTTATACCTGATTAAAGGTATTAAATGTGTAGATAGGAAAATGGCCATTTGAGTTGTCACTGACGAGTTGTGACCGAAGCTTGGCACTTAAAATGGCCGGTCGGATGGAACTATGATAAAAACAAAGTCGAATAAGTCTAGTTTGGTGTGGACTGTGAATGTGTGCAATCGCTGTCTCGGTACACCGTCCTCGGCCGGATCCGAATGTATTTTATTCCTTTTTCAAAGGCCCTCTTGCCAGAACATCCAACAGCCCGAACGAATGAGCGGCATCAGCGATTTCTTTTGAAGGAATCTGTGAATTGGCTTCAAGGGAAACCGAATAAAGACTGCCGCTTTCTTCTGTACCACCGGGAAAGATTGGACATATTTGTTGGTACACTTCAACAGCTCCGGTCAGACCTAGTCACGAATTCCCTCTAGTCGACGCTACGGGACATTCATATGAAACGTAAAATCTGTTCATACGATTGTATGAAAATCAGTCGGCTTTGTATATCACCATTTGAGGGGGTTTGAAGGGGACAACAAGAAGAGGCCGGTTGGTATTCTCACCTCGCAATCGCTTCATTCCCAAACACTCAGTAGGTCTCCTATTCGCGCGGAAAGATCAAACAAAAGGTCATCTTCAAGATGAAACACAGGCTTTCCCACCTCCATCGAGTGTCTGCTTAGTCCCAACCATTACAACAGCTCAATGACTCAAAACCTCACCCCCTCCTCACCCCACAGCCAACTCGTGATCCAACCCAACCGTTTTTACTCCCAGCCATGATCCGGTCGCGAGAATCAGCCGGTTCGGTCGGAGAAAAACACACTTTTCAGCCGCAGTCGGCCGACACATTTCACACCGTCGTGGCAGCTATGCTTTTTTCTCCTCAATCCCCGGCCTATCCAACCAAGTCAGCATGTTCGGCATGTTCGAGCCCCTGTTTCCATCATGACAAGACACATTGGCGTCCTGCCATTCGCAATTATATATATTTGTGTGTGTGTGTGTGTTTGTATGTAAAGGTGTCTGGATATACTTTCTCCCAGTCGGTGGTGCGAGGCTGAAGACCGGAGGAGCAAGAACATGTGACATGTTTTGCGTGTGTCATGTCTGTGAGCGTGCACCACGTGTGATGAGTC